CAAGGAGGGCAACGGCACAGTAATGGGAGCAGAGCTACGTCATGTCCTCACCACGTTAGGCAAGCTATATTGTTATCATTTCTTAATAGCTATTCAAATGGAAATGTTGAACTCTGTTGGGATCACACACTCCAGAAGCGTATTGTTCCTGAAATTGGTATACAAATTGATATTCAGGGAATTGCAAATGTATTTTTATCTTTCCAACATTTTAATTTGTAAGTTTTAAATGACTTCTGTTATGTTCCATTTATCAGGTGAGAAAATGACAGAGGAGGAAGTAGAGGCGCTCGTGGCAGGACACGAAGATGCAAATGGGTGCATCAATTACGAAGGTGAGAGCTGATGATATAAAAGGTCAAGATGGGATGCTGGCTACAATTAAGCTAATGCAACAGGATGTCATCATGTCAGCTCATCTCAAAATTCATGCATGACATTGTGTGTGGGCTATGCTGACTTCAGTTATTGTGCATTTTCTGAAACGTCAATTGAATGTAGCTTAAAGTTGTGTATGTGTGAGTTTGGCGTCCATTTAACTGAGCCTTTTGAAAGGGTCACATAGACATAAATGTGCTATTAAACATATCAAGTGTTCATATGGAGGAATGCAAACGTTTCTGTGCTTCAGCGTAAACGTAACCCTGCAAAATTCCTTCCTGTGACCCTTCAGGGGGCTCCGTGTCATTCATGTTGGCGTCTTCTAATACCTGTACTTACCTCTTCTGTTTAATGGAGTTCTGTAAGAGGCTCTGTTTAAATGTCAGCGTCTGACAGTGTGTTAATGTTCTTCTTCCACAGCGTTTGTTCGTCACATCATGTCAGGCTGAGGGGCCGGTACGGGCATTGTATACCATTGGATAGCACCTCCAGGCTTTCCTGCTTTTAGTTTCCAGATAATCCAGCTGCATTAGGCCATCCTAACGCTAGTCAGCTTTAGTTGCGCTGTTTGTATTGGTAAATTGGGACAATGCGCTGTTGCTAAGTAGATTTGACCCATAGATGTCTGTGGGAAAGCCTGGTGGTCTTCCTCGTTTCTACTTGAGGCTCTGACCCATGTGTAGCCTCCTGCTCTTCTGTCCCTCTCTCCTGCAGCCCTCTGTCTTGGCCCCTGGCCTGCAGCATGGCCCTCTGCATGTGTCTATGACTCTCCCCTATATTTATGGGGATATGGTGGACACACAGGGAAGAGACTGGTCTCATTCAGGAAAAGCCCGGTGGCCATGAAGCGAAGGCATTCGAACTGACTGGTGTGGTGGCGTGGTTATGATGCAGCTCTTCTAATCTCGTTTGCATGTCACTGGTGCTATTAAACAGGCCTTTACTATACTGGTGTCAGAGGTACTGGTCTTTTCACAGATGCAACACACATATAAGATGTACCTTTTCAGATAGTCATGTTTTACATTTTTAGATGGTATAGTCACCAGCTTTGGGAGAGTGGACCAGTCCCTTTTTCTACTAACAAGAGAATCGCAATGAGTCGCTCCTGTGCTGACTGTTTCTTTCCTCTGTATTACTGGAAACTGAATTTGTAGCTGGCCGTCTCTCAACTGGACTGTAGCTCCCTTGACCTCCTTCGCTTTTCTCTTCTTCTCAGCTAGAGGAAAGCATACAACGAGGATGGCTTCTCTAACCAGCTCTTTTTGGATCTTAGAATGCCAGTTGCTTTGGCTCAATAGGAGGTTGAGGTGTTTTCACCTCTTTCTCTCATCCCCGCCTCTTCAACCCTTCTTTTGCTCTGGGCGAGCAGAATGTGGAGAAATCTGCCTCCAAATGCAGCATCTCCCACCCAGGCTCAGCAAAGCCGGATGAGGAGGGGGCATTGCCTCCACATGCTGTAGTTGGAGGGGGTCTCTATAAAAACTGATACCATGAAACTCACACTTGTTTTATTTCTCCTTTACAGAACTGGTCAGAATGGTTATGAGCGGGTGAAGACGAAGAGCAACACACTTTTTTCTTCTTTTTTTTTTTTTTCTTTCATGTACCCCCTTCTTCCATTTAGCTTCTATTACTCCATCTTTAATTTAAGAAGTGCCTTTACATTCCCCACAAAAGATCCAGGTTTTGCTTCCAGGCCTTTTCACCTGTGTGACCAACTTTTATTCATTTGGGTTTATATTACCTGCAGCAGCATTTCATCATGTAAGAAAACATAAATCATTATGCAATAACTTCTGAATATTATCATTTTTTTAGATAAGACCTTTAAAATGCATATACTGTCACCAACCTGCTGTGTCATTGGCTAAGAGTTGCTACGGCTGAATAAAAGTGTTTCTGACTGTACGGTAAACCAGTGTATTTAAAGCCATACTAAGGCAGAAAAAAAGTTTTCTGTGTTTAGAATTCAAACAGATTTTGTTGCTGCATTTAAATAAATGTTTTCTGAGAACCCATGTGGTTGTTTTGTTTGATTTGGAATGATACAGTGAAAGATATATTGCTATATTGATTTTTCTTTATCTGCTGACACAAGAGGGCAGTATTACTGCTGATATCTGTCTTGCTTGAGCCTTCAGTGCAGAAAGCTGCTCTATTCTGCTCCCTTATTCACACGGGGTCACCACAGCGTATAGCTGCACACATTCGATTTTGATTTTTACACCAGATGCCCTTCCCGGTGCAATCCCCAAGGGATTTTTGTATCCTCCCAGAATCGAACCAGTGATCTTTCACTTCTTAAGCAAATGTGTAAACAACTACACTTGCATTGGTTGACTGTCAGAATTTACGGTTTATACCAAAGGCATGCCTTCAAAAGCCCTTTTTGCTGACTTGAGCTGAATTAGAATTATTTTACAGGAGTTTGTGTTTCTGGTGACACTCGTTTCTAATGTAGGATCTCATCTGTTTGCAGCAGCTGTTTAGAAACATTAAAAGTTTTGTTTTTTTTATATTTCTTCTGGCCATGCTGTAAATTTTCAGAGAAATGAGGAAATGACAAAGCGCAGACATGAGCAGTAGAGGGCTGTTTGGTGGCTTCCTGACCTTTTCTTCACTTTCCTCACAAGCAGCCACAACTATTTCCCCTCATTAGGCACTACAGCTATTGGAGTGTGGAGCTTATGTGTGTGCGGGGTAAGGTTCAGGAGGGTGTCATAGTCCAGTGCTGAATAGGTTGTCCACTAATTACTCGGTGTGTGTGTATGTGTGTGGTCGATGGAAGTCAAGGCTATTGATTATTTTAATCCTCCTATTTGTGAGTCTGTGATCCTCGTGGCTCTGCATTCGACAGGGGAATCACTAATGGGCCTCAGCACAGCCTGTCTCAGACCTCTCCCCGTCCAATTAACTTTCAACTGGAATCTGCCAGGAGAGAGAGCCGGGGGCTGGGCCCAGGCGCGGTGCGGCTACATCCTCCTTTTTCTGCTCAGGAGCAACAGATTCACAGAATCCTTTACGTCTAGACTGTCTTCAGCTCTCTACTGTAATTAGATACTTCACTTTCAGCCAGTGATCTAAGAAAAAATCAAGATGCGTTCTCTTCAACGTGGAGATGATGTCTCTTTCTTACTGGTTTAAAAAGTGATGAAGTGCCTACTCTAAAAAGCTACTGGTCCTGAATGTGGGGAAATTATTCACAGAAAGCAAGATTTGGGAATTTGTGTGCAAACTTTATTTTTACAGCACATTTGGGCCTTCTTATGAACTTTAAAAACCTTTTGTGCAATGCACCAATAATTATGCATCCTCTGAAATATTGCCCACCTTTTTTAATCTTGATCATTTCATGTGTAATATCAGACTTTATTGATTATTAATAAACAGAAAGGTGGTTAGTAGTTTGCACAGATTTTTGTGGTGAAATTAAAAGCTACTGCTCCACTTAGATAACTTAAAAAAATAAGCCCTGGAATTCCAATTACTTTAATTCTTTATGTGATTAAAAAGAGATCGCGTATTCTTTTTAATATGATTTTGGTGCTCGTGGGTAAGAAAAAACACCAGGGCTGAGATTTTCAGTCTTTCAATCAATAGACAGATAATTCCAAAACTAATCACTTGAGTAATTTCTGAGGCAAAAATGCAATTTTCAAATTTGAGCGTGCATTGCTGCTGGACAAAAATAAGACATGAAATGATGCGTCGTTAGACTTTAGGAAATTTTGATGGGTTTCAATGTTGTTTTTTTTTCTTGGGTTGAGAATATAAACAGTAATGAAAATAACCGTGAGTTTGATTGATCAAATATTTGAGGTGAACGAGTGAGGGAATTTGGTAAACATGTTTACAATAGCATTGTGCCTTCATTATAAATAATGTGTCCTGATATTTCATGATAGTCTCACATAAAGAGACCAAAGGGTATAAGTGTGTGGGACTGGCATTGCTTATTTTGCATGGACTCAAATATTGTTTGCATAAAAAAATTATTATCTTCCTTACAGGGACAAAAATGTGTCCAAAATGTAAATAATTAAGTTTTACATTTAAAGGTTAAGGTTTGGGTTAGGTGAGGAACACAGTGTCTGTGTGAGAGAGTGAGATTTGGAGGGAGGAAGTGAAAGAGAGAACGAAAGAGCCGAGTATGACATCCATAAAATCAGTGAGCTGCAAGAAGTAAATTCAGATTTCAGCCAATATTTGCAAAGAAAACAGTTGTATATTTTCGTTAATGGTGAGCTTTGTGTCAAAAGCACAATAGATAATTGTCAAGAGCAGTTTGGATTGTTTGCACAGCTGATTCTACATTTAAATGTATACATCACCTGCATGTAGTGGAGCCTTTTATAAGCTGAGGTCAATATTGTCAAATATTTGTTTGTGTCTTAACATATATTGGAAATCCACACTGAAGCAGGCTGCTGTTTCGATTTTGACTATAGGTCCACGGAGTCATGTCATCTACTCAATTCAAGTCAGTCCAGCTGGTCAATTCAAATAGAAATAAAAAGGTCGTGTGCGTGTTTATGCGTGTAGGCGCCTATATTTAGCACTGACCTTCACCATGCCAACACAACATGCAAGAACACAGAAAGTGTAGGTATAGATATTTTTAATAGCAACTGTCAACTCAAACGTTTCAATATACTTCATAGCCCATCCCAAAATGACTCTTTTACATTTGGTGATTCTTTGACAAGGTATCTCAGACATGGCAGTGTAATTCTAGTAAGGTGTGAAATGTACAACATTTAATGAAAATAAAACACTGGACTTGTCAATGTTTCACCTCCCCAGTATCTTACATGATTTATATATCCACTCACACATATTAACATGCCCACTTACTCACATACACGCACGTGCTCTCAAACACACACAATATAATGCACTTGGCAATTAAAATTTCAGTACACAAAAGTGCCATCGATGAAATGCATTGTGATATGTTTTCCTTGCGATGTTCAGATGCTTTGTTTCGTCCTGCCAAGTGACATTCGGCGCCATAATCAAATGAGAAGAGACGAGTCAAGCATCTGTTTATTCAAATGGCCTCGCTTTAATCAGTATCGTCCCAATGCTCGCTGAATCACAACAGGGGTTTAATTCATTTCAATTGGTGTAATTCACTTTGAAGCTTAGAGGAAAGTATTTTACAATGATGAGTTGCAAAATGTATGCAGGCCAAACAGATTGTTGGAAAGCGGAGCAGAAATGTGTAAATAAATACTGTGCAGGTAAAGATTGGAGCACATTTGTCTCAGCTTTGTTAATTAATGGCACCCTCAACACCATCATTGCAGCACGACAGCCAGACTCATGGTCTTTCATTTATTCTAGTTTGCACAATGTCATTTAATATATAATACATTACAATTCTTTAGATATTTTAGAGCCACGATGTAGAATTTGAATTTGCACCTATATTGTACATATTCTGAAATTCATATTTGTATTCAAAGGGCACCAATAAATGACTATTGGCACAGATTGACTTTATTCCGTTTATCTCTGATTTTCATTCCTTTGTTGTAGGCTGCAATTTCAAAATGTCTTTATGCAGATATGTGTGTGTGTGTGCTTGCTTGTATTCATCTATGTGCATATTTTTGTGTGTGCACTGCATTTCTGTGTTTGTGCATCAATTTGCATATGTATATGTCTGTGTAAGTGTCAGTGTGTCTATATGTATGTTGGTGTTTTGTTTTATTTATTTTTTATTGTTCGCACTCTGCGGGGATTCAATTCAGTCTGGGTAGATGAGGAAGCCGGAGAAGGTGCTGTACTTATTTGTGTTTCCTCCGTGGACCTTCCCTCCGTCCAGCTGCACACACACCTCATCACCTACGTCCAAATGCAGGATCACACTGTTGGAGGCATAGTCGTAATTCTGATCAGCATCCTGAGCAATGGCGCTTGCTCTTACCTGTCACCGACAGAGGACACACACATTGACAATTAGAACACGGACAAAACTGCACAAACAGCTGCCTCCTAGTCAGCGAGAGCTCCTTGCAGCAAAAAGTGTCATGCATCAGTCTCCACATTCATCACATTTTGCTTATTTTTAAAACTGTATTTTTTAAAAAATATTTATTTATTTTTAGGATGGGTTGTAACTCATTATTACAGCCTATACCTCAGAGTTATGGCTGTGACATAACCTCCATTAATGATGCTGCTTAAACACATGGATGGGACACTGACCTGTAACCTCAGAGGTGAACACAGCTACTATGTCTTTTATTGATCAGCTGCTCGTGGGACTTGAGGGCAAAATGCTGGGTGATGGAGAGCTGCATGGTGGTGGAGACAAGCGGACTCACTGGAGACAACGTTTTGTCTATGGGGAAAGTGGTTCAGCCGAGAAACAGCATCACTATCCACATCATCTATTGACCTGTTGCTTATGATGCTGGACCAGCTCAATATGCATGATATTGAGTGGCTATGCTTAAGCTAGACAGTTTCACATTTGCATGCTGTGCTTGAGTTTGGTATTATTGAGCAGGCAGCAGTGGATCTTTACTTGTTTGTTAACACATTTAATTGGATTTGCTGCGTGTGGACAAATGCACATGCCTAGATTGAGTTACTGCTGTACAAGGTATAGGATTTGTATTAAGTGTGTTATTTAAACTTGCATATACATGTAAGGGGGGCAGATAGTAAGTATATACCTTGCAATATGAAATAATCTTCAGGCATTCCAGAGTTCAATTTAAACAATATTAAAGCGTTTTAAGTGTTTAAAAATGCACAGAACATCAGCACTCCTTAAAAAAATAAAATAAAAAAGAAAGAAAGCCCTCTAAGTAGGATGTATCAATAATTCTGATATAGCGGCTCCAATCATCAGACACATGTCAGCCATCAGTGGCCTTATGTCTGGCTCAGTGTCCATCTACGGTGGGAGCACTCAATCTATGTCAGCAGCCAGACAAGCCACGCACATATCCATGACAGCCACAGAATATGATCTGCAACTCAACTACCATCATGTCATTCCCGTCACCGGTGCCTCTTTCTCCCCAATGAGCATGCATCAATTCGAAAACAGTCAATCGCAGAGCAACACGGCTCGAATTACTGTAACTGAAAAAATATGCCTGTTTCCCACTGCACCGATCTGTCTTTCCCTTAACTGAACATGCTGTTAACCATCTGTCCAGCCTGGAGTTGGATTGTATTGCGGGAATAATATCTGTAGGTGGTCCTAAATGAGACCATACTGCATGTTGGTGACCAGTTGTTAAGCATGGCCCTGTCCGTTCTAAACCGGATTGATTAAGGAGCTGAGCAGTCAGTCTCTGGGGGCTCGCAGCATAAAAGACACTCAGTACAACTAACCACAGCTATTGTTAGGCTACTCCAACAGCCTTGTTTCATTACATTAGATGCCCTGATGGAATACAGGTATATTCTCCAGTCCACCAGGGAATGCTTCATATATAGTATGTGGTTTATTGGGGGGATTTTTACATTAAGATGACCTAAAAAGACTTTTATCTGAAAAGCTTGTTCTCACTGTTTTAGATCTATTCATATTTCTTAGCATGTGTTATTTAAAAAAGATGCATTTCAACACTTTGTTTCTTTTCATTTAATTCCTTTCATTTAAGCAGTTAGCCTGCTCCTATAATGTTTGCATTTTCCTAAATCTGTGAAAGATTATCTCAAAAAAACCTAATAACCAACCAACTGCATGCTTCTTGTAAAGCTAACTGAGTGTGTCTTACATTCTTTAAATCATTATCAGTCCACGTTAGTGCTATCTTTGCTATATTCAAAGCAATATCAACAAAAGCAACTTTTCTCACATGTATTTTTCATCATCACCAGTTGATTCACATTTAAATGCCTAAAAAGAAAAAGCATTTACATCATTTAGAAAATGTATATTGGGCATTTAGCAAATAACAAATACAATTTTTGTTAAAATTTGACCCGTACTTTTTTTTCTAATTTTGGAGACCCTTGTGCTAATTGCTGACCAATTAGTTTAATTAAACATTAGCTGTAATTGACCCTTTCTTAGACCCTCAGAAGACCATCTCTCAAACAACAAAACCAATACACTGTCATCTATAAAGGTTATATTGTTCTGCTTGACATGTGTAGTGACAGCCAATAAAACATTTGCATCACTGGCTGCTTCTGACAGTGATGCTGTTGTTGTGACTTCCTATTGATACCAGGGATATGTCATCCAGCTCATTATTTTGGCCAAACAGTGTCATGGAAAGCGATGCGGGGAGCTCTGTTCATCCCTCAGGCCATCTCATATTCTAACGACTTTAATTTAAAAAAATTAATCTATAAATAAGAATAGCATTGATCACTCAGCAAATATAATTGAAATAGTATATGACATTATGTGAATAGATACTTCAGCTTGTGTTGCTGTGCTTGAAGGAATAATACAACCCATCCAGTGATGCAGATACCAGACAGAGAGGGATGAGGGAGACGTGGTGGGATTAGGGCAGGAAGCCGGCAGAAGAGATGGATACGGCTGGAGGACACAAACTGATCCTTGTGAAGCAGGCAGCATACAGCGCTGATCCTGGAGTTGGAAGGGTTGTGAGCCGTGAGGCAGGGGCCCCCGGGGCTTGCCTGTGGCTGTTTCTGTCTCCGCCTAGCCCTTTCATTATAGGGCCTCTAGTAAACACGCCTGGGAGCTGAGGGCCACGGGGGTGTAAGGAGCAGCTGCAGTGTCATTTTCTATACAAGTGGAGCCGCAGCACAAAAGACAGGCAAGGATAGACGAAATGAAGGGAGAGTGGAGAAAAACAAGGACCAGAGAGTTGAGGAAGGGGGGCCTAGAGTAACAGACTGATCAAGCGAGGCTATTTTGTGAGACCGGGGAGATGTGGGGGTATATGAAGTCTTGTTTTTATCTGTGGTGCTTTGCTCCACTGGTAATAAAACTGACAGGATTCATTCACTGTGATATACTGACCTCTTAGAGCGGAGACAATAGAAAAGTAGCTGTTAAACTTACCTAAGGGACTCCTGCACATGGCAGGGGTGTTGGGGTGGGGGGGGGCACGATGTTGTGGAAATAGATTATTTATTGAATAGGTTTTCCCTCTCCTCTGGGAGCCCAGGGATTACATGGCGACAAGCGACTTAAGCACTGAAGCGTGCCTTAGCTTGCTGCTACCTGCCATTCTGCATGGTAGCCAGTGGTCTGTGGCACCTGTGTGCACTGTGACTTCTTTTAATTATTGTGTTTAATCAGGAGCATATAAGCAGATTTAAAAGTTTAAATTCAGGCAGCAAATCTTACTGTGTATCAGTGTCTTTCCCTCTTCGCCTCCTACTGTGGGAGTTAATTCAGGTGCCGGTCATTACAGCAAGTGATGACATTTTAACATTACCGTGTGAAATAACTTGACCTTTAACTGAGCTATTAAAAGAGCCTGTGTAAGATGAAAATACAAGGGAGAGATAAAATGAGAGTCGAAGCGGTGTCTATTTGTCTACATTGCATATTGCACCAAGAAAGTTTAATACACAGTTATGTACAGAGTGGAGTGTTATAGGTTTGTAAATGTGTAGGTGAACAGCTCGCATATCAGTTAATGAGGGGAAAGGAGAGACATTCAGTGGTGTATTATCATCCTTCACAGCATAAAGCATGCCAGCATCAGCAGAGTCTGCACTAATAGCATTTGTTACCAATCCAGAATATTAACTAGAATTTAACTCTTATATTCTAGCCAGTGATTTGATGATGGAGGGATTCAACCCATTTATAAGAGCGCTGTCAACAAAGAGAAGGGCTTGTTGACAGTCTTCTGCAGAGCAAGGCTGGATGTATGGAGTCGTTAAGTATCTTAATGATATAATAGATAGCTAGCATATTTACCAATTTTTATTTCTTGTGTTCAGTGCAAATAATATAAGTTAATCAGCTGGGCAAGAAAAGTGTTAATCAAACTTTCACGTCGTACTTTAGAATTAAACTCTAAGTCGATTACAAACATGGAAGCAGCTGAAGTGTGACCTCCCTCCTTCACTCACAAATCCCTTGGCTCTGAAACGGTGTCATGCTGCAATGATTTGTGAAAGTTAGATTGAGGTGTGTGCAGGTAGGCTTTGCAGGGAGGGGATTTATTGAAGGTAATAGGTATTGGATCTATAGGAATCCCGTGGAAGCCTCGGCCCAGTCAGCACATCCTCCTGAGATCATGTCACATGACACACTCGGAGACTCCATGCAGCATGCTAGTTTTAAACATTATCAGCTGAGATAAAAGTGAAGCTGTACAACTCGAATGTTTCCAGAAGGTGTTTATCGGCATTCTGAATTAATTAATGCACTCATCTCAAAGTGTCTCTAACAAGCACTACATTTGCTCAACTAGTGCATAAACAGAGCTCGCGAGACCTGTTTTTCTCTCGCTCGCTCTCTCTTTCTCTAGTCGACCTTGATCACTTGTCAAGTCGAGACGTGTTGAGTGGGAGTCCATTGGTCATCATGCCTGATCTCATCCTGGCCTTCACCACCAGCCTCCCAGATGCATCGTCTACCAGCCCACTGTCTCCATACCTCCATTAAGTCATCTATCTTCCTCTGCTCCACCCCTGATCTTGCCATCAACTCACTTGTCTTGTTTTGCTCTCCCTTTTCAGAGTCTTTAAGTGGACGTCTCAGCATGTCCCTGCCATGTCCGGTCTCTCGTGTTTCATCTTAATCTTTCTGAGATTATTCTCCCGGCCTGGCTGCCGCAACACAACATGTAAGGTTATAAATGACCTTACCTGTTAGATAGGTAACAACACAGGTTGAAAGGCAAATTTGTGGCAATTTGATCGAATAAAAAACAGAAGAAAAAGAAGAAGAAAAAAAGCAGCAGGCAGAGAAAAATATCCAATAAAGCTTCAGCACCTACGGCAATGGTAAAACAGGCTGTTTGATTCTATAGCCAGGAATGCAACCTGTCAAACACAGTGCCCTTTTAGTAAACCCTAGCCACTGACTGGCCTCAGGCACAATACCCTCCCGCCTCCGGGCTTCAATAACTCCAAACATGATCAGGCATTCTGCAGAATTTCATTTACACTCCATTTCCATCTACAGGCAGCTCTGTTTGGGTAGATCCCTGTTAGGTGAGTGCTCTATTTAACAGAACTGTTTAAAGAGGCCAGCTCACGGGTGTCAAATGGACCTGGGTGAGGTTAAATAATTGAGTTGAGTGAAAAGATAATTAATGGAGAATCAATGAACAAGCTGGGAAGGGGTTAGCAGAGGAAAGTATAGCGGGTGTTCAGGGGATCTCATCTAAGATGTATAAATTATTTAGCAGTCTAAAATGACTTGAATGACAATATGGAGCGTTAGGCAGACAGCCTTAAACACATATTCACCTTTGTGGTCTCATGCATATATAACGGTGCATCAAATATCAAACATTGGGTGATGAATTATTTTAAACAATTAATTTTGCATCTTCAAAACCAAAGTTTAAATCCTCCTACTTTAGCACAGCTGCAATGATAAAGTAAACTGTGCGCATGAACCAGCACTGAGCTGTGTTGACCGACAGTCCTTGATACACTACATGTCTAGAGAGTAAGTTCAGAGCCGAGTGCATTTGCATTCAGAGTCCTTGATGAATGAATGAATGCGTAAAAAGAAACTTGAAGAATGTTTCTTGAATTTGGAGTCCTCTGATAAAATCCCTGTGATTTATCCCACCTCTCCGCTCCCCTCCCCCCCGTCAGCCCCTCTGTCTTTAATTAGTGTCTGGGGAATGAAAGAGGGGATGAGTGGACTGTCAATTTTACATTCATTATTTATTTAGCTGAGGTGTAAACTGGCTGGTCCACATTCTGACAGACATTTCTCTTGTGCTCTTTTGCACTTCTGTTTAGGCGATAATCAAGTTCTGCGTATGATACTTACTAATTAGACTGTTCCTTTCGGCGGCGGCGGCTGCATTCTGCCACTTGTCATTTAGCCACAGTACATGTGGGAATGCAAATACCTGTAGCCGCAGTTTTTGACTGTATAGCATGAATTCGCCTTAATGAGGAGAAAGATTGCCGTTTCATTCTTTGGCTGTCATGTTGCCACCTGCTAAGTGGAATGTGCTCTGAATCTGAAGAGCTCAATGTTACACAGGTGAATATGAGTCTATGGTAAGACAGGATGGTCAGCAGTGAATAAAAAATAAATAAATCTGCTGCATGGTCATGTGTGTGCATACATACAAATACATACTTATACATTCTCTGTTTCAGCGTCTTCATGCACACACACACATGCACACTCTTGTACTCACCAGTCCGTTCTTCTTCAGGTCCGCCCACATGCTCGTCCCGTCACCACCTCTCATTAGAACATGGTAGGTGAAGAAATAGATGCCAGGCAGTGGGCAGGTGAATTTGCCGGTGCTCGGCTCATAGTAGTTACCTACATTGGTCACCACATCATCAAACTTCAGTATTTCATTGCCTTCGTGTTGCTTTCGTAGCCCTGCGTAAAAGGCAATTTTGGGAGTGTAGAGTGAGGGAGAATAGCCACCAGGGCCTGGACCTTGGGGACCCTGTGGCCCTGGTTTGCCTGGCTCTCCAGGGGGTCCACGTTCTCCTTGAGGCCCAGGGATCCCTGGAGGCCCTCGAAGCCCAGACTTTATCTTCTTTCCAGAGTAATCCTGGGGGGGTGGAGACGCAGCTGTCAGCTCTTGGCCTGGCTGAGACGTGGCGTAGGGATCACATACCATCCTGCAGCTTCCGAGCATTTCATAATGGCTCCTTGCATTTCCAGCATTCCCTCCTTTGGTTGTGTGGACCAGCAAGGGAATGGCAACCAAGAGTATTAGGACCATTGCTACACCTACAGCAGCTCCGATGACGCGTTTCCTGCGGCTGAGCCGTGAAGCGGCCAGCGTCAGGAAGTCCTCTTCCCCCTTGGCTGGAATAGTGCCGGCCAGGATGAAGCCTCTCAGAGAACCAGTATGATTTGCAAAAGAGACGAGGAGGACTTGGGGGTGTGTGGGGGAAACAGCGTATCACTGGAGCAATGAGAATGAGAGGACAAAATGGCAGAGAGCCACGAAGGAAACAACCAAGGGAGAAAATCCAAGAGAAAATTTAAATGTCCAGGGTTCAAAATATTATGACTGAAATAATACAAGCTTCACACGCCACAGTTTTTAGAGAAGTAAGCACAAGAATCTCGATGTCTCAGATTTGTGGTGACATGGTATAAAAAACACAATTTAATTGAATAAGTCTGCTTTGCCTTTTTCTGACTTCTCCTGGAGTTCTGTTCAATTTTCAGCATCAAGCAGAAACGGTAGTTGGCAGTGAGATGGTGATTGTGAAACCAGAGCTTAATTAGAAGTATGCTGAAATGAGAGCTGGTGCCAAATTCATCTCACTGAAGAGGGAGTAGAGGTTTGTTTGTTTTGTTGGATGAAGAATAATCTACAGTTTGTGTTTTTTGTTTTTTGTTTTTTTCACTGAAAAATCTTCTTTTAAGTCCTCCCTCCAAAGCAGAGGATTTCACTTCATGTGTATATCTCACTTAATGCCATGGCTGAAAGTTTAAAAAAAAGTTCATCAAAGATCTCTGGCTGACACAATCATCCTATGACCTCCCACTTTTATCTGTTCACATTAAAAAGATGTTTTTCAGGAAACCAAAAGCGATTTTGTTGACTTGGGCTTTTCAAATGTTCCTCTTCTGGCTATAGCTGGATCTAAAAAGGATGGTAAAAAGAGCAGAGACACTCAATAACTGATTTGGTCTGACTTACATGTACACAATTTAAATGAAGCACAGCATTAAAAGAAAAAAAGTAAAACAACGAAATTAAAATAAAGTGATGGAATTAAAATGTTCAGTTTAAAATAAATATAGGACTCATCTTTGTAGAAACATGCCAAACATATATACATATTTTTACAGGTGAATATTTATTCATGCAAAAATATCTGCAGCGAGTCTGTGGTTAAAAGTGAAAAATTATAAACTCACCATCGGCTCTTTATAATCCCTTAATTTCTGAAGGACAAAATCTGTGTGTCTCAGTGTACTTCACGCGTCCCATCAAATGACTGAAGGACTTTGGACCGCTACCGTGCCAAATGGAGAGCTGGAGAGCCGACGGGCGCGCAGGAAATGCCAAGAAAGTGAGTTTCTCGATCAGAGCGTAATCCCCTCCTTTCTTTCCAGGTAGAAAAAAAAGTCTAAACGATATAAACTTCGGAGGAATTTAAATCTTGCAAATATTTGCTTGAACACTTTTTTTTTTTTTACGCAATTCCAAATGAAAGCGCACGCCGGTCTGACGCTCCTATCCAGAGGGTCTGTCCACTGTACCGCCTTTCGCAGCGCTTGGTCCATGGGCAGTCCTAGTCTACACCTGTTAGATTTCTCTCTCTCTCTCTCTCTCTCTCCGTTGCGCTATCCCCGTTTTGTTTTTTCTTTTTTCTTTTTTGGTTTGTTTGTTTTTTTGCTAAATTCTTTTTTATACACACCCACAATAGCAAATATTATTATTTCATTATTATTGCTGTCGTATTATGTTGCTGTTGTTCATATTGTCATTATGCTGCATTTATTTACCTTCAAACTGACACAAATGTGGACTAAACCACGCATATTGTTCCATCTGTATCTCGCTAGCCCGACATTCACCTGTTGTTAGAGGCAAACTCTTTGCAAGCAAAATGTTTGATAGAGTGTTGCAAAAGGAAGGCAGATGTTTTCATCTTCTGTGTGCCAGGCAAGGGAGGACAGAGCATGGTGACTAAGTAAAAGCTGCCTCGGCATGATGTGTGAGGAATGGAGAGGAGACACTAAATGTTCCCCAGACCATTGTCTGTGTGTGTGACTCGCATCCCACTGCTATAAAGCCTCATTAGTGAGACACCCTGCCCCAGACATTGTGCTGCTCTTTTTCTTTTACCTAAAAACTCACACACAGGCACATACAATACCTCCACTTCAGTGTTTATACACATGCATCCTAGTGGATGTACGGAAACAGACAAAGAGATTTCACACCATTAATTCTGGAAAGGCAAGTTTTGCATCCTTGTGTCAGCATTCCCTACAGTTTCAGTTACCACGGCATCACTTTCACTGGTGGTCACATTTCATTTCAGAAACATATTGGGCAGATTTTTAGTTCATATCATCATTTCCTTGGAGTCTTGTGTCACCTGTCTGACAGGCACAATCACACATCTGCGAGTTTAAAGTTTAATGGCCAAAGCAGTGGCAGCAAGGGGAATAGGTCTGCATTCAGTATTGATGAGTCCCTTTTCATCAACCCCCACCTCCCTCGACCTCCATCTCCTCAAATACGATGACCACTATCTGGTAATGTAGGGATCATCACCTTATCCCACCGGACACGGAGAGATAAATAATCGCCAAGTTTTAAGGTGGCTTTCTAAGGATGGTTCGGACTTAGTGGGAAATTGGTAAAGTGTCGGAAAGGTTTGACACACGCCAGGGAGCGATATCAGGCAATATTTCTGTTGGGAGATGTTGGTGCAGCTGGACAGCACCGGGACGAGTTAAATGCTGTGTCAGTCCCAGTTTGCAGGTCAGTCAGTCTGTCCCACTAGAACAGTGCTCAGAGCTCCTAAGCAGCATGGGGAGGATAATCATTGCCAACAGTCAGAGGCAATATGCTCAGGATTGGATTTTTAAAGCCTGTTAAAATATTACTGAGGTGATTAATATTGAAATATGTGCATGTCTTTCAGCTGTCTGTTCCCTCTCTCCCTATTCTCCTCTTGATTCATTCCTCTGACTATTCGCGCTCACCTAAAATTTCAATATTATGCATTATGTTGATGAGGTGTGTCTTCTTTTTATTCAGTGCAATTGCTTTATCATGTTACCTGTTCTGACTCACACAGAATTGACTGACACCAGCAGCAAAAGGGCCATGGGAGAATAGGTACTGGGCTTTTTGAGTTATTAGTTTGTTTAATAATTAATTTCCTATATTATGATACGCCAAGAATAAATCTCTGTCTTTTGTGCACACGCCTGCATAATCCGAGCACCAGTTTTTCTCTCGACTCCTCTGTGTAAATAAGTACGAGCGAGGCAGAAACGTATTTATGGCCACATTACTCACGTTATGTTTCTCTTCTGCTGTTGCTCTTTTGTCGGCATAGTTTCTTAAAGACATACTAATTCTTCAGCGCAGCGATCCATAGCAATCGTCAAATAGTTTCACATTTACAAAAATGCTCGCGGACTGGGGATCAACCAGGAATAGATATGTTGCATACGACACGTGATACGTTTTGTGCAAACATCTCATACTGAGCTTCAGTTCTTTCATGGATGATGGCATAATGTCCCCAAGAGGTGCATAGCTGTAGGAGGACTATTACTCCCTGGGGAACCACCATGCACATCTTCCATAGTTAACACTGACAGCTATTCAGCTATCAAGGTCCTGTTCTTTGCTATGTAGATTGTCCTCTGGATCACTTTAGAGGTCATTAGGGGCATAAAGGTGGTCCGGGACAAGTGTTAAATTGTACAGATGAAAAAAAAAATGTATAGTGAGACAAGTCTTGTCTTTAAATCAAAAGCAACATAGATCACTAATATAAAAGGGACGCTTTAATTTAGTCTGTCTGTTGAAAATGTGGTTCCAGTTGGATGTATGTTGGAGTAAAAGAAAAGCGCAGTGCAAAAAACATATATGATGTCTGTTTATTTTTTGGCTAACTATCTGGAAAGCGTTATTTACTTTATTTCTTACCTGGGAGTGTGTGTTGTACTGTATTGAAAGGGTAGGCTTATAAGCTTAGCGTGGATGAATGTGGATGTGTCTACATCCTGGTGCTCTGCTGTTTCATTAGGCTCTGATTATGGGGCCTGATGCAGAGTGACAGTGTGCAGATTGAGTTGCACAGCCACTCTAATTCTCTCTATTAATAACAACCCTCCACACTGCCGTCCCGAACCACATTTATTAATCACAATTTGTCATCTGTCCGATGCTCCACCCTCTCCTTCTCCCTTCCGAATACCCTCCCTCTCTTTATTTGTGTTCTCCTCCAGCCTCCCTCCCAACAGGGCCAGTTATCCCTTGCACCTCTCCACCTCCGCCTCCTCCCACCCTCTACACCAGCTCCATTCGCCATCAACTCAGAGACATGGTCCAGCATACACAAGGATGTTCTCACTCTCTCCACTCACTTTAACTGCACTCTGGATTGAGTGCGATTAATCAAAAGCTCTCCGGTTTTAATTGGCCAAATAACAGTTAACAACTTGTATTGTGTGGACTGTTTTAGTAACAATTTACTGAAGATTATAATAAATTGCAATAAAACAAACCTCGATTTGCAATTAGTGAGCAGTTATGATGCACGTTGCTGGACTTGCAACACATCCAAACCGTGTACAGTGTAATGCATCATTATATGGACGTTCAACCATTCGGTGAGATAGCGTGCGATGGCCTTTTGGAAAACATTGATTCTTTCTAGCATTAATCCCAGCCATCTGAAATTTCTATTTACACAAATGCTGGCATTTAATCAATATGTATGCTGGAGATATGCACGAAGTATTATTGCATTATAGGTGCGAAAATATCCTCATAACTAAAAATCACATTTCTGCTCATGTCTCATTCAAATGGCCCTTGACCCCACAAAGAAAGATGATTTATGAGTCAGCCGGTCCCCTAGGTCTTGCTCTGCCATTCCAATTTTCAGGGTAAGGTTACGCTCATTATATTGACACTTTTAGGATATTCATTTACACTGAAGTCCAATTTTACCCAAATATTAGAACTTTTCTCCTACTTTGTTTCTCCAAGAGTTACAGACGTGTGAAATCGGTCTGATTGTTCACTGCAGCAGATTTTAAAAGCAGTGCCTCCTCTGCTGTGCAGCACTGTTCTTCTAATTACACCGCAACCAAACCAGCCCTCCACTGCTCAGCGCTACACCCTCCAGAACCAAGGTCCCTCTACTGTTTTCTTTGAGCAGAACCGGTGTTTGGGGGAAACAGAGGCGATTTTCATGTGCAAATGTCAGTCAGTCAGCTCCCAGCAATCACAGCCCCGTCTTCTCCTGAGATCGGGGCTTGAGACACAGCCTGAATAATTTAACAGCTCTGTGCCGGCGTGCTTTAGGGTCGCAACCTTCTAAAGTGATGACAGAAAGACGTTGGCTGACTTCCCCTCCCATTCACTCCCATTACCACTTATTTACCGTTCATGATTCCAGGCAGACAAAGCAAAAGGGCCACACTGGGGAAGAAAAATCATTGGCGCTGTATAAACTGTGTCATAAAGCGGAGCGCAACCAAACAATGACATTTTCAGAGCATCCCCAAGTCGGAGGCGATCCCCTCCTGTGCTACACTGTGAAATAAACACACGCCACACACATGATCACCCGAGCCAGCAGTCGCAGACAAAAGAGATGATGGACGCACACAAAGAGAAAAGGTCGTGAAGTGACACACAGCAGGGACAGATGTCAGAGCGAAAACCTTACCGGTGTATAGGTGTGGATTGAGATTCAGATGGTCAAAGAAAACCAAACACACACACACAAAAACACACACAAATCTTTTACTTCAGGAGAGGAGAGATTACAGTGATTTTCAAAGTATGACAGAAGAAAGAACAGAGGAATAGAGGACATGTTGAAAGAAATTGATCCGTCTGTACGGACACATTCTACATTTCTATCATTCAGAGGGAGACAGACAGCGCTCGGTCTGACGACGGTGGTCATCACTCGACTGCAGCACAACTGTGACAGCACTGTGACGAGGATGAATAGACTGTCCAGTCACTCAAAATACCTGCTGTCAGGGAAATTATATATTTACCCACTCCATTTATTTCTTATTTATACCCTTTACAACCTTTATTTAATTATCTTTTCAGCCATAAAAGCTTAATAGCTTCGTGTGGACTGTATGCAACATTTCCTTCCATAAGCATGTCTTTGTTGTTGTCCACTGTCAAACTGTGCGTTGGTCCATGTGTTTATAACAGTACACATTTGGAAATGCAAGACAAAGGAAAGCAAAACATCGTCAACTCTTAATGCTTTCACGGGAAGATATCGTTGGTGTGAAAGGAAGCAGCGGTGGAATGTGATACGGTGGGACGTTCCCATGGAGATGTCAACTGTGATAGCCTATTAGTCCAGTTGCTGAGATGCAGGACTGCTGGGAGGCATGAACAACATTTCCTGCTTTTTCATAAACCCCTCCCCACCCCC